CTCCTGCATGGCGTGGGCCTCCTGCAGACACGGGAGAGAGTGGAGAGAAATGTGGATCAGTGGGAATCACTGGATGAAAATGGGATAATCGGGATGAAGGTGATAAAAATATGGAGGAGACTTTAGATGAATGTCACTGGGGATTTGTCTAAAGTGACTAAAGAAAGGATGCCATGGACAACATCAGTCTTAGTGCATCTTAAAATAACAGAAACATCCCAGAGAGCGAGACACTTATCACAGTGCTTTAAGTCTCACCCTGATCACAGCATCTCTCTTGTTCTTGGCCTCACCGATGCGAGCGTCTTTCTGAACCTGAGCTGTCCGAGCCTTCCCCAGCGAGTGCAGATAATCCTGCAAACAAAAACAGAAGACAGTGAATCCAACATGCAGACACTTTCTCTCATGTCTGTGGTTTCACATTGTAGTCAAGGCAACGTTTTCTGTCATCAAAAGAAAGATAAAGACGGAATAATACAAAAATAAACACTACATAATAAAGATTTGAGACTGAACACATTGATGGCCTGTGTGATTATTTTATGTACTGCGTTTTTCAGATGGTTATTTATTCATTTAAATGATTTCCTCTTGAATCCAATAATCAAATCAGAAATGATGAATAAATCTATTTGAAAAGTTAGACCGTATCAGTGAGAATATAGAGACGTTCTCTTCTTTGAAATATATCTGGAAAAGTGTGATCGCCTTAAATTCAGGTCAAGACTTTGAAATGCCAATATATGTTCCCAACAGTAGAGGGCGCCACTTATCGGTATGGCGAGTGTAAAGCTTTGACTTGAGGATTAAAACACGCTCTGATAACGTCGTTAAAAATGAGTTTTTAAAGGAAAAAGTCCAATCTAAAGATTTGTCTTTAAAAAAGGGGGCTTGTCTTATAATAAAGGCTGACTTATAAACTCAACAATACAGTACAATGATGGAGATTTAAGGATGAGAGACGTCGATACCTGGTCGTCGTGAACGTCTTTGAGCGTGTAGCTGACCACGCTGATGCCCATGTTGACCAGGTCAGAGGAGGCCACCTTAAAAACCTGCTCGGAGAACTTCTTCCTGTCCCTGTAGATCTCCTGAAAGAGGAAGATGATGAAGAATGATGACACTGTTTCCGGGTAAGATTATTTTGTTAAGGACTTAAAGGAAGAATGTGCGACTTTTTGATCCACTAGATGTCGCCCTTGAGCACCCCGCATGAAACCAAAACAAAGTCGACACACCTCCAACCCCCCCTCCACTCGCGTTCACAAGAAGGCGTTTACAGCAAGTGGCGGACAAAATTGTCCTCGGCTCGAGTTGCAATCACCTGTGTCCTGCATTGTTGTGTTAGCATGCTAATGTTAGCGCTTTTAGTTAGCTCGTAGCTTCACATTGCATGTCATTTCACACAGAATGACCGTGATCTAAAAATGCTTACATGACGTTCAAATAAGCAGTGAGTATGTTCTTCTTCTTCTCTCTAGTCCTTGACTAAAACAGCTTTTATACACAAGGGGAGGAGCCGGCCGTCCCGTCCATGTAAACACGGCGCTGACAACAACACAGCCAGCAGGACTCGAGCTTCTCACTCATTGTAGACAGTCATGATTATGTGTAACATGTCGCACATTCTTCCTTTAAAACCCTGAAATTAAACTCCAGTAAATCCAACTGTAAATCCAAACAACCGTCAGTTTCTCACCTCGACAGTCAGGTGGGCGATGATGGCCCGCTGGTGTCCCTCCAGCGTTTCCAAGGCGATCCGAGCGATCTCTGCGTCTGATTTCCCCATGAACATCTGGCAGGCTGCAGCCAGCATCTGTTTGTTCTGACCCTGGATCTTCATCTGCAGGAAACAGCAGCAGGTTTAGTATGACGTGAAACAGTGAAACACCAAACCACGTTCACAACGATTATCTACAGAACAAACAGAACAGCGGCTAGTTTGTAAAACAAACCCCAAAATAACACTCTGATTCTTTAATCACTGACGCTGAGGTTTTGCTATTTCACCACAGCTGTTTGGTTCATCACTCTCATGGATATCTGAACGCTCAGAGACAAGGAGCAGCTGTGGAGGAGGCATTAAAGGCCATTAGCAGAAACAACGTCTCCCACCGAGCGTGCACACTCACCTGAGCGATCCCCGTGACAGAGATGGGCACCCCGTGGCGGGTGTAGACCTTATCACTCTTCACGTTCAGAGTCAGAGTGTTCAGAGAAATCCTGCAGGGAAGCAGAGTAAGACACGCAAAGGAAAAGAGGATTACTGATAGATGGACTTGCTGCTCTAATGTCAAACATTAAAACAGTAGCCATTACCGCTGAAGTGTTTGTGCTGAGTCGATAGAACTGAGTGCAGGACGTTATGCGATCAGGATCAAGGCCGGCTACAGCACTCTGCTAAACCAAACATTCAGTCTGGAACTTTGTGATGAACTACAATAAATATAGGAGGAGCAGCGTTCACATTGGAGGATCAGAAAGTGTCCTGGATCGTGGCGTGCATGAAAGTGAAATGTGTTTTATTTTGAAGGGGGGGGGGGTGAAGAGATCAAAGTGCTTTTACAAGGTGGTTGTTTACTTCCATGTAGGCACAGATTATGTACCAAAAGAAAAGAAAAAAGATTCTGAATCTTTCTTGCTGCAAGGTGCTGCAGTGGTTAGCGCTGTCGCCTCATAGCGAGGAGGTTCCTGGTTTGAATCCCCGTCTGACAGGAGCCTCTCTGTGTGGGGAGTTTACATGTTCTCCCCGTGCATGTGTGGGTTCTCTTCCTCCCACAGTCCAAAAACATGCTGGTTAGGTAAACTGGTGACTCTTAATTCCCCGTAGGTGTGAATGTGAGCGTGGCTGGTTGTCTGTCTCTATAAGTCAGCCCTGTGATTGACAGGGTGTAACCCCGCTTCTCGCCCAATGACAGCTCAGCTCCAGCCCCCTGCGACCCCGAAAGAGAAAGGCGGTATAGATAATGGTTGGATCATTCTTATTAAGCAGGGGGATGTTCTGAATCAAAGTCCATAAGTCATCCTATCTCTATAACAGCATATTATTATGATATAATGTTATATTATTGTGATTCTTAAACATCCTCCTCAGTTTGAATGCGGATTATTTTATCTACAGGTGCACGGCCCTTTGCCATCGCTGCTCATCTCTGTTCATCTGTAAAATGTCAAAAAAAAACAGAGCATGAAGCAGAATCATGAGGAGTGAAACTAAAGGTCCGTGGACAGCAGTGCCAACCTCTGTATCTGCTGAATGCACGGGATGACGAACACTCGGCCTCCGGGGATCATCAGAGGAGGAGAGCGACAGAAACCTGCGAGATGAGAGCGAGAAGAGCCTTCAGTCTGAACTTAAATAAGAAGTCATGTTGGAGGAAGAGCTAATATCAAGCTTCACTACTTCATCATATTTCCTTAAAATAAAAAAAAAGGTTGGTAGCATTGAAGTCGAAGTAAACAACTAGCTGCAGCATGTAAACAAATTCTTATTTTAGGGCGTTTGTTTACAACATGAAGCTCTGAAAACCAAACCAAACCAAGTAAACTTGAGTACATTTTCAGAGTATCTGTACTCCTTTTTTTCTGTGACTCCACTACATCTGAAAGATAGACTTTTAAAGTCCTCTACATTTCTATGAATGTTCTCGTTTATTCGACGCTTTAACTCTGACGTCAGCTGATGAACTTTCTTTTTCTAAAATCAGATCCCATAGACAATCAACTGTGTTCGTGTAGTTCTGTGTGTGGTTTGTGCATGTGGTGTATAAATCTGTATCATGTGAGTTTAAAAACAAAAGCAGGTGCTTCACTACTTTAACTGAAGTGATAATTTGACTGAACAACTTTCACATGTAATGGAAAAATGTTTGACTGGGAGGATCAATACCCAAGTCATGAAGTTGTGTACGTTGTCCACCACTATTTGGGTCAGTTTTGTCTCTATATATGTGTGTGTGTGTGTGTTTCTTTCTGCATTCAAATTTAAGTGGATGTTATTATGTAGGTCATCATTTTACCTGACACCACCATAGCCTCGTTAGGACCACAGGTGTAGAACATGTTCGCTGATCCTCCTCCAGACTGAAAACCAAAGCAAAGAGCAGAATGATAAACACAAGTCATCGATCTTTGTAGCTCCTATATCTGGAATATTCTCTATTTCACGGAGGGATCGTTTGTCCAGCAGCAATCAGAGAGGTTTACCTCTGAGCATCACTGGATATACTCATATTCTATGTAAGCCTAAAAATCTGTTATTTCCCCGTTATTAACAAAATAAATCCTCCAAATAGATGTTTGGAGTTAATGTAGGAACAGATACCAGAGAGGAGGGAGGGGTTGTGGGGGGCAGCAGACAGCACAGCACACCAGCAGGGCTTCTCAAATCTAATTTACACAAATTATGCGCAGTGATATTTACAGACTGAGTAAAACCTGCAAGAAAAGATGCAGGAAAATCAGAAAATCAAACGAGAAGCTTCAAAAAAAAAAAAATGTTTGAGCTATAGGCTGCGCTGGGAAAACTGCAAGCGGATAATATCTGTGCAACCGTGATCACTTGTGCAGACAAATGTGTGTTTACAATCGCGAGCTGACGTGAATAAAGACGAATATAATCCCTCACTTACCGGTTTGTGAGAAACGAAGATTTATGTGGAGTAGGGTGAAAATGGCGGAACAAGAAGCGGTCTGCTTTGGGTGTAAAAAATAATGTAATTTTATCACAAGTGACGAATATTCCCGTTAGGCAGCAGCTGATGCGGCCAGTGAAGCGCAACAGCGTGACTGCAGCTCAGCGGCTTGTACTGCGCATGCGCACCATTCAGACTGTGTTCGTTCGCTATCTAGTGGACTGGTGGAGAACAGGCACGAATGCATGAACTTAAACTGGACCGTGAAGCTCTTGTTTCTCCTCACTGCCCATGAAGATTTAGTTTAAAGTTACTCCAAATGTTGTGGCATTTAAAATGACTTGACATTTTCATTCTATGAAAAGGTTGGATAAAATAAGACCCTGAATTATTTAGGTTTAACATTTAGTCCCCAACCCCAGTTATGTTTTTTTTTTTTCCAACTCAGGTTCAATGAGACCACACAGTTTTGAACTAACTGAAACGTCACTTTATTGATAACTCAGGCAAAAGTTCTTAATAAAAGAGTATGCAGTCTGTAAATCAGTGGTGGTCACATGGTCAATGTGTGTGGTGGTGCAGAGGCAAAGGAAATAAACATCTTGAAACAATATTTTCCAATCTCCCCCGATGTCGGCATATAGACACATTTCAGGGGTCCCTGGAGGTGGTTAAGGTGTACAAATAGGCCTATCCAAACACTGGTAACACAAAAAATACAACAGCCTAGAAACCAAACAATTGTTACAATACAGAAGCAGAATAAAAATGTGCTTTTAGAGTGGACTTACAAAACTTCATAAACATACAGGTGTGTTCATCTTTATGTGTGAAGAGCAGCAGACGTTTAGCCTACATTGTTTCTGTCATGTCATGTGCAAACTTACTTTTTAAGTATTTTTAAACATTAATTTAATTTTCTTTAAACGTCAAGATGTGGTTTTATTTGAAATTGAACTTGTGTTTCTACTCTCATGTTATTTTTATTTGTAGTTCTGAACAATGTTTCGTCACAAGGTGTTGCTTGCACCCTTATTACTGTTTTCCCCTTTCCTGTTTTATTTTGTTGTTTTAGGGAGCCTCTTCTAAAATCTGACCAGGGACTACAGATGGAAACTAGCATTTTGACATATTCAAAGACATGTTATTAATTACGCACTGTCCCTGTTAAAAATACAAATTAATTAAAATAATTCATTTTCTATCCCTATGTTTTCCACTTTCTGTAATAGTTTGACTGTAAGTAAAAATCCGTTCATTTATTTAATACAAAGTGATTTACACCTCTTTGTACCTCTATGTTATTATTATTTTCTTCACTGATGTTTTGTGAAGCTCCAACGGGGCAGTGATGACCAACCCGGCACTCCCTCTCTTCTTCCGGTCCTTGCCTGTGAGCCCAGGAAACCCCTCCGGAAAAAGGAAAACCGCCGTTTCAGCCAATCACCGGCGGAGTGACAGTGAGAACAGCAAATCGTAAAGCGTTTAGCCCCGCCTTCAGGATCGAGAGGAGCCCGTACGGCCATCAGTCCGTCACTTCTGTCTGCGTTCAGCCAGTCAGTAGGTCATTGTTTTAAAATTCTCCAACACTTAACTCTCAACAATAACAACCGTCCATCATGAGGGAGATTGTTCACCTCCAGGCCGGCCAGTGCGGAAACCAGATCGGTGCCAAGGTAAGACGACCTGATGAAAACAACTTAACTACTTTGATTTTTTTTTTTTTTAATGTGAATTTCATCCTTAAAACTTTTTCTGGAGGCTCTTTTTTTGTTTTGATGGTGTAAAAAAAAAAGAAAGAAAAAAAAATAACCCTAAATTCAAAAATAAAATCGAGAAGGTTTCACATAGTTTTTGTATTTTACAGAACGAAACACACAAATGGTCAACATTTATTGTTTTGTATGAATAAAATAAAGGACCATGAAGCCCTTTTGTCTGCAGATGAGCCCTCTGATCCAAAGACACAGAAAACTATTTCCAGTGGTGATCCTAGAGTCTGTTGGGGCCTTAGGCAAAAATCAATTGGGGGGCCCCTTGAACCAGCATTCATCAGCATCCTCGTACTCCTCTCTTCCTCTTCTTTTTTTCCTCTCCTGTAGACGGATAGCTCCTCTTCATATATATTTTTTTTCATTGCAATAATGCACGCAACGCTTGGCAGGGCAATGAGAGTGAGTGCTGTCAGATGGGGCCCCCTAGGGAGGTTTCCTACTGTCATTGCAAAATTTGCACATTTTGCGCCACTGCTTCGGTTTAATCTTCAGTCCTCTGGAGCCCCAAGCAGTTGCCTGCCTTGCCTGTTGACAAGCAGCGCCTCTGACTATTTCATCACTCAACTCAAAAACTGTGAGGCCCCTGAAGTCCCAAAAAGTAAAACAAGAAAAAAAAATCTATTATGCCCACAAGATCATTACATTTTAAGATATTACAATATAATTATCTATTGCACAGAAGATACTTGGATGTTCTCAAAAGTTGTCATCTAAATGCATAAAATGAAAGTTTTACATTTTCGGTACCTCAGGGGCTCTGCAGATTTATTTATCCAAAATGTCCATAAAAAAGTTTGTTTTGGAAGAAAGTGTAATTTATCTCTAGTGTGGTGCTCATGGTCACATCATACCCTTTATCCTGCAGAAACACTGTGGGTGTAGTTGGTTTTCTGGCCTTACTCGCACCATAATCTGTGTTTCTTTTTTCCATCAGCACCTAACCCAACATTAAAATAAATTCAAGAAACGTTACCTTCTTTTGTAAATAAGTCTGACAAAATAAATGAAGAAGTATTCAAAGTAAGATACAGACGCAGTAAATCTCTGTTGAAACATCTCAGGTGACGGTTTTAAAGTTACCACAGAGAACAGCAAAGTTAAATAATGTGTGTGATTCTAAACAAACCTCATAAAGCCACTATCTGATCCCAAACAGTCTGAGGACTCTTGTTTTGATATTGTGTCTGTGGGATAATTCTACAGTAATCCTCTTATTGTGTTTATGCACATTATGAAAACAGTGTCAATTCACAGATTTGGAACTGTTGACAAAACAGACACTCGGGTCATTGACCTGTGATTAATGAAGCAGACACGCGGGACCAGCTGCCGTCTTGGCCGCCTGGTGAGCCGGACTCTTTGTCGTTCAGAAAAGAGAAAGGGGGAACGTAAGAGGAGAGGGCGGAAAGAAAGGAGAAGTTTGCTGAGGCAGAGGAGAGGAACGCAGCCAGAGGGGGGAGGGGGGGGGGGGCGGATAACAAGTGTCTCAGTGTCTGCTCTCACAGAACAGACGAGGTTATTTAAAATCGCTGCTTTTCCAGTCAGGGGGATCACATGCAAACGCCGCTGGCCCCCCGATTCATCAGCGACACGTGAACATGAAGTGATGATCTGTGTTTTTCTCCTGAATCAGCAGTTTAGCAGCTGTGCTTTAAATGTCCTTTGGTGTTTGTGCAACACATTTCCAAAGAGATAAAGAGTTCCCACTGCAGCTACAAACTGATCATTATACATTCATTTCTCACACCGTGCAGGCTGATCTGTCTGTGGAAAACATAAACAAAGGCACCTTCAGTCTGTGAGCTGTGAACCGCTCGCTTCGTCTGACCCCAACAGTCGACAGGCTTTGAAATGTTTTAGTTGTAATCAATCTTTCTGATGATATTTAAAGAAGTGTTGGTATACATTTCTGTCTGTTTTATTACAAAAACAACTCGTTAAATAATTTCTGTCTGGCAGTTGTTTGCCCTCACCTGATGATGTAACCGACAAAATGTGTTTTTGGACCACAAGAACCTTTTTATAGTTCTAGGAACTGTTTGAACCCCCACACTTTTTATTGATTCTGCACCGCAGGAACTGTGAACTATTTTAGTTCCTAGAGGAACCTTTTTAGCTCCTGCTTCAGAGTAGGTACTCTCCCATCACCATGCAGATTGGAAAAAAAAATCCCCATGGCGTGTCGTTCTCAGGGAACTCCCTTGTGGAAAGTTCCTCCTAAAAAAAAAAGTTTGGTCCAAAAACACCTACAACGTCAAAACATTCCTGACATCCTGAAGAGACATCTTGAAGTGTTTTAATGAATTCAGACTTTTGCGATGCGTTATTGCAATAACGATAAAATATGATTTTAATGTGCAGCCTTCACTCGGGGTGTGGACGATATGAGATGAGTTGTGGCAGCAGCATATGGGTTAACTGTGAGTCCACTTCTGGATGGTCCTGATCAGTGAAGACTTTAGTGTATTTACAGCGGACTCAGTCAGGCCGAGGTCATCCTCATTTAACAATGGATTAACTCTGCGGGAACTCGCTCACTTACACAACTCCATCAAACTAAACTCTGTGTCTGAAAGTCTCTTATGTTTGCTTCATGACTGATAGAAATGACACAGAGGACGAGATCAGCTTTCACAGCCGAGGCTTCAGTGACTGTTCGCTCCATGTTATGGCGACTCTCAGCCTTTTGACATTTTCTATTTCTTTAATATCAAGTATCGTAACCCGCCACTCGTCACAATGAGCGCTTCATCAGAATGTGTTAGTGTAAGGGATACAATTTGTAAAATGGTGGCGTAATTGGAGCTTCTAGCCTCACACGATGTGGAAGGTGAAGGTTGAGCTATGTTCCCCAAATCTGCGCGACTGAACTTGTCACCTTGTTGCCATGGTGACCACAGGAGGTGAAACCAAGGACAGAGTCAAAGATGGTGAAGGAGGTGACAGCAGTGAAGATTAATAAAATGAGATTGTCTTGCCTCTCTTTCCCTTTAACACACACACACACACACACACACACACACACACACACACACACACACACACACACACACACACACACACAGTCCCTGGCACAGATTAGGGTCAGTCGACTGAGCCGGTGTGGCAGTGTGTGCTGGTGTCTTAACTGAATTTGGCGTTAAAGTCTCGGTCTGTAAAAACCGGCCTGACTGACTCCTCTGAAAGATCCGCTCTGAATGACCCTCAGACTGCGAGTGGATACGGGAGCTGAAGTTGTAGACAAAGTTTGTGTTTATATGTGTTATTCAATCCCCCTACAAGCTGTGTTATATTTATTATCAATCTAAAATCATGTTCATAAAGATGAGATCATTCTGTGACCTGTAAAGAAAACACAGCAGCCGTGTGGGTGAAGAGATTTCT